ACTCACTGACACATCTGTACTCACTGACACATCTGTACTCACTGACATTTAACACAGGGGGATTGGATTTAGATCTAGTTTTTCATTGATGCCGATTCTGTTTATGCTTTTGTTATTATTCCTATTTAACACAAGGTCATCAGATCTGATTTAGTATTTCATTGTTTCTAATTGTTTTTGTTTTATATTTTTATTCCATGTGCAGTAAATATATCTTGCTACTTTTTATTTGATGATGTGATATTTTTTGTTAAGCACTTAAAAAAAAAAAAAACCTACAGTATGACTTTTTATAACTGTTTATTGTTGTCGCTGTTGTCCATTGTTGTCATCTTTCTTTGTTGAAATCGTTGGTTACGTACTGTAACCCCAGATTCTATGAATATAGGCGTAGCCCTTTAAGGCTGTCGCTTGGTGGGTTTATCCCGTTATGCGGAGCATTTGCACTGAAAAAATTTAGTCCACGCCCACCTGCTGTGTGGGCCCTACCCGGTCCGTATAAATTACGTTAAGAGCGGGAAATCGGCTCCCAAAAATAGCTTTTTCTTCAGCCATTTAGGAGCCAGTGAGGCCCGACGCTTAAAGGACTACGCTTATACTCATAGAATCTGGGGTTACAGTACGTAACCAACGTTCTATTTCATATAGGCTTCGCCCTTTAAGGCTGTCGCTTGGTGGGTTAAGGGCGAAGCAGATGTGGTCCTCACCTCACTGGGTCCATTCGAACACCGTATGAAGCAGAAGCTTGCCCAAAAAACGTCTTGTCACTCAGCTCCCATGTACGTAATTACGCATTGCGTAATTATGTGAGCCATGCATAGACGCATGTTGTGTAACTATGCGTTCATGGCTGAGCAGTATAGACAGATTAATAATAACAAATGACTGATTATTAATCAAATGAACTGATTGGTAACAATAGTCATGAACTGATTAGTGACAATAGAACCAAAATAACAGACACAACTTGTGACTGATACACATCTCACACTCTGAAGCATGCCGACAGATGTGAATTAAACAGAGTTCCATGAAAACAACAATATTCATTCTGTTAGAGCACTAAGGACAGAATGTGTCATGGAACGAACCGTCACATCACGTAGATAAGAGCGAATGAATGAGCAGGGTGCTGACCATGCGGCCGCAGTGCAAATGTCCTGCATTGTCATACCATTATGCAGAGCAGTCGAA